CCACTCTGTACAACTCGGATCCTCTAAAACGTAAATAATTTACTTGGCCAAAGGCCTTCAGGGTCTGCGTAGGAACGGAAAAGGAATCCAAACTCCCAAGCCCACCACGTAAACTCCTTAGGACCGGGCCAGGAAGACCGCTCCCCCTCCCACTATTTATTCCTATTCCTACTACTCCTACAATTTGCAACACAGAATACTCTTTTGTCCTCAGGCATTTATTCATAGAAGCAGGTCCCACCTCTTGGAATGCCTTTCTAACTCCTCCCATTCGCTTAGGGCAGAAACCCTTAAAGTCTAGAAATCCTGGAAAGTCCTTCTTCTCTTTAAGGCTTACCCCAAGGCCAGAATAAATAGGTTTTCTTCCTCCAGGCTAATCTCTCTCTTATCATTCAATGTGGTGAATGTCAGCCTTTTTTTTTTTTTTCCCCACTAGACTAAAAACTCCTCAAGGGCAGAGAATGTTTCTTTGTATAACAAGGCCACAGTGACCAAGAGGAAGCTAATCCGGTAAAGTGAATGAAACGACACTGGTTCTGGCAACTCCCATCATGCCTCAGGTAAACATCCCACCCTCCCAAGGTAAGCCCACCAAAATCAGACTAGGCCTTCCTCAAAGCTCTGCAGCACCCACCCAAGCAGGCCGAGAACTGCAAGAGCCTCAAAGGAGCAACTAGAAGTAAACCCACTTTCTTCGCCCGCTGGTGCACTTACCAATCCTTTACATCTGCCAACTCACAGAATTCAACAGCTAGACCACCATCGAGCTGCTGAGACTTCTAGAACACACTGCCAACTTTTTACTGGCACAAAAACAGTTATTTGCCCCATGAAGGTAATTATACTATTCTATCTGTACTCAAATACTTACTAGTATTAGTAATATCTGCAGAGCCAAGAACTTATTCACATTGAAAAAAATCTCACATCCAGAATAGTAAAAATCTTTAGAGGAAAATATTATATAAAAGTCATGCACCAGGCACCATTCTAGAAACTATGTGCGATTCCTCATTTAATGGCCACGGCAACCCTATGGAAAAGGTATTATTATCACCCTTTCCACAGATGAAGAAACTGAGACTTAATGAAATTACACAATGCGTCCCAGTCACATGAGATTCGAGGCCAGTTTGACGTCAGAGCGCAAGTGCTTAGCCAACACAAAACTACACAACGCTGTTAAATGGAAGATCCTAAGATTAAGTTCCATGTACACGCAATCACACAAGGAGAGAAAACACAACAAAAAATGTTAACAGCGGTTAGTTACCTCCTGAGTGTGAAAAATAGGTCTGAGTGGGATGAAAACGAGCACGTATAACTTTTAGTCAGAAAAAAAGCAAACAAGCCAATAAGAGAGGTGGTATTTAAATGGTTTTAATAAAAAAAAGGTTAAGGTGGGTTAGGGGAATAGATGGGGACCGACTAAGAGCCAAGCACAGGGGCTATCTCATCTAATCCTTACATCAGAAAATGTTGTATTTCCATTTTACAGATAAAGAAACCAATGATTAAGGAACCCACCCCGTGGAAGAGCTGGGATCGGAACCCAAAGCCCAGTCCAAATGTGTCTGACTGCAGGATACCACGCGACAAGTAAAATTTAACTGAGAAGCTGTTCAAAAACAAACCACATTCTGGGAAAGAATCAGAACTAAGAAGCCTGGCATAGTAAGTGAAGGTGGGAAAAGATAGAGGCCTACGGTTTTTAACTTTAAGCTTTAGTCAATAGTTATCTCTACAAGTGTCTCAAAAGAGCCAGAAGCATTATCTCTAAAATCAGCCAGGACTGTGAGGACTCTGGGACAGACCCATACCTGAAGGGAGTGGGAAGGAGACTCCACTGCTGTTTGTTTTGCAAAGCAGGATGGCATTAGCATAAGATACAAGGACTTAAATGTGACTCCATTGTATAAGCAGCAGAGTATCTGCTTTGGGCACAATTGGCTGCCTCCAACCCAGTATCACCTATTCATCTATTGTTTACAAGTCACCAGGTGTGTGGGGGGAGAAACGGGGTGTTACGTGTCTGACAATATTGCTAACTGTATTCAGATATAAATGACCTCTCATTATTCATAACTACTGTTCCAAACCTGGATAGTGAGAGCTGTGAACCCTTGGGGAATATCTCAGGTAAGAATGAATGGATCAGCATTTTTGAAATGTCATGTTTAATTTTCAGTGCTCTTTGAAATTTTAAAATCCATATAAACTAAAATTTCATTTCTCTAAAATAGTATTTTGTTTCTCTAAAATGATTTGCTGAGGAAAATAGCTGGGGTGGGAGTATACAAATTTCCTTATATAATGTTTCAGAGGAAATGTGATTACTGCAGACTTAACAAATTAAACATCTACTTTTGAAAGTAAATATTTAATAGTGAAAAATACATTACCTTTGCAATTTAAAGTTAATTCAATTATTTGCCCTGAAAGTCTTATTAGTTTCAAATAAAATGTAACTTTGAAAAATATCAAAGCCTCCATTCCCTCGGGAATAATAAAGTAGCCCACGAGGTGATTAGATTAGGAAATTTATGTAGGTTTGGGACAAGAAGGGAAAAAGTAGAAAACTTTAAGGATTTGTACATATAAGGCTTTTGAAAGCTTAGAAATATGTAAAGTCGACAATATACCTTAAAGATATCAAATTACGGGGCAAAGAGATCTTTTTAAATCCTAATATGTTCTAGGAAAAGAGACTCACTGAATGATTTCTTCCATCCAACATGCTCTAAAAATAAGGGCAAGCTATAATAGAAGTAACAATTCTGGCTACACAAGTCTATGAAAATATCTGAGTCAATACGCAATTTCAATTCATCAATAAAGTTAAACAACCATTAAATGCAATTTGCATTTTTGTAAGAAATCCATACAACCTCAAATATCAAGCTTTCCTTAAGTAAAATGCTAGCTGGCTGGGTATCTATCATTGTGGAGAAACAGAAGGAGTTTTATTTTAGGCAGACAAAAGGAAAAGAAGCCACACTTAGTAAGAATCACAGAAGGAGTCTCACTTCCACGCCTGACAGAAGTCAGACCAAGTAAGTCATGGGTTATCTACTGCTCTGCAAGTGGTAGCTTTTCACTAGGTAACAGTGCTCTGGGGAGGGGTGTGTGGTCAGAATGTGGAACACCTCTGCCAGTGAACTACAGCCTGATACCAGGCAGGACACGCGCACATACACAGCACATAATGCCCGAGGTCCACTAAAAAAAGAAGGGGAGGGGGAGGAACAATCGAAAGAGGAAAAATAACCTCCAACCTTGCCCACACCAGGGGCTGGTCGTGGGGGGCAGGGGACATTAACATTTCCACTTCCATACCAAAGAACAACCAGAAGGAGGTTAAGTGTAACCACAGGAAACATCCCATCCCTGAACACCAGGAAATCTAGATTTGGAAATTTAAGTTTCTGACTTTTTTTTTTTCTTTTGCAACTTTCAAAGCTCATGGCACCAAAATAAAGCTAAAATTAAATCCGTTTAAACATAGAAAAAAAAAATTACCAAAACCACACTGTGTCAGCTATGTTCAGTTCCCTGAGGGCTCTTCCACCGACCCTTCCGAGTTGTGGCAATTAACAAGTTTCCTTAAAATCCCCATTTTTCTATCTCCAGGGTCGAACGTAAGAATATCACATAAATCCAAATAGTTACCGTCGGAAATAAATAAACTACTCGTCCTTAAACTGCATACCTTGTTTCAGGAGCTGCCCTGCCTACCTCCACTCCTTCCTCCTAATTTTTAATGCTTCCAAGCGTTCTGACAAGTAGGGTCTCCCCCTTGGGTTCTGTTCATGTGTCTGATTTACCAGACACTGACCAAATAGGGCAGGAAACTCCTACGTCTGGGGGCTGCTCCAGAAATCCAGCCCCCTCTAATGACAGTCTCCCTACGTCTTTCCCTCTGCGGGGACCGTCCAGAAAAGGGGGGCTTGAGACCCAAAGGAGTCCAGGAGGCAAGGAGGGGGGTGCTTAATCTGAAATGAACACCCCCGGTTTCTGGAGTAAGGGCTAAAAAGGCGATTAGGAAAGTCTACCCGGTAGAAATACCACCTGAATTTACCTCCTCCTTTCTCACAGCAAGAGCCCAGTCACTAACTAATAAGCTAAGAAAAATCCCTGGAAAACTTTTCCAAACGGGCAGAGAAGGCCCTCTCCCAGCCTGTGGGGGCTCCGGGGGGAACCGGCTGGAGTTTGCAGCCCAGGAAGGGCTCGCCGGGGAGTGGGGTGGGGCGCGGGCGAGGGGTACAGGGGCGGAGTACCTTCAATGGACAGGAACTGGCAAAGAGTTGCAAAATAGCCGAGTGCTCTCCCCCACGCCCTCGGGGGTCGCGGGCGCTAGGACCAGGGCTCCCCGAAAGGAGGGCAACCCCCAATTCGGGCCTAAAAGGAAACTTTCCGGGCCGCGGCTGCACCTGACTCCTCACCGCCCCTCCACCCCACCCCACGCCCGCCAGGCCGCCCGCCCCGCCCCGGCCTGGCCGCCCGGAGCGCAGAGGGGGATAAATAAATTCAACGATTACCGGAATCGAGGGAGGTGGGGGGCGTCTGCGAGAGACCAGGGGGAAGGGGCGGGCGGGTGCCCATTCCCCGCTCCTAGGCCCCGACGCCCCTGTCCCGGCAACCCGGGCCTGCCGCCCCGCGGGGGGGCCTCCCGGCCGGCGCACGATTCGGCCCCGCAGCGCCGCCGTCCCGCCCGGAGGCCCCGGGGTAGGCGGAGGGGCGCGGGGAGGCCCGGGGTGCCGGGGCAGGGCGCGGCCACCGCGGGGCCCGCCGGCCCGAGGCCTAGCCGGCTCCCCCCCACCCCCCGCCCCGGCCCACACCCCCACCCCGGCCCGCGCAGGCCGCGCCGCTCGCCCGGCTCGAGCCCCGGCTGGACCCCCGCCTGCCCGCCCGCCTGCCCGCCCGCACGCCGCCGCCGCCCGTGGGCGCCCCCAGGCCCCGCGGCCCCCAGCCCCCGCCACCCCGGCGCCGGCCCCTCTCACCCTTTCATTCTCTGCCCGGGGCCTGACGCGGGCCGGCGAATCCCCGGCCTCACGTAAGCGCGCTCGCCGCCCGCCCTGCCTGCGCGGCCCTGCCCGCCGCCCTACGGGAGCCCGGGGATGTGGGCCGGGCCTGGGGCCGCCTCTGCTTACCTTTCAGCTGCTTTTTTTTTTTTTTTTTTTTTTTTCCTCCTTCCCCCCTTTTCCCTCGGCCGGGCTGACAGATCAGAGTGAGAGGCGCTGGCAATGGACTCGGAAGCTCGGCTGCCGCTGTTACTGCTCCCCCCTGGGCTCCGGCGAGAGCCTTTCCCTGTCAAGCAAGAGGGGTGAGGATCATATTTTTATTTTGGAAACTAAAAAGTGCTCCCAGGGTCGGTGATTATTAAGGGGAAATCCCTGAATATACTCTCCAGCCAAGAAGGCAGGGCTGCCGGGGCTGCACAAGAAGAGGCAGCAGCCTCCTATAGCACCACTACAGGCACTGCGAGGACATAACACCAGAGAGCCGCTCCTCTGCCCTCCGAAACGACAACTTTCCTACCATCTTGGAGGCAGAGGAAAGGGGGGCCGGGGGGAAAAGTGCACCCGCTCCCGATAAAGTACACACTTCTACTTCTCATCTCTGGAAAAAAGTCCACACCGGCCGTCTACACCGGCGCCTGGGGGAAAAAAGCAGGGAAGAAACTGGGGGCGCTTGAGAAACGTTTTCAGTTGCTCCACGGGGAAAAATGTTTCTGCATCTTCTGATGGAAAGAAATCTTTACAAGACACAGGTTTTCCGGTGATTATTGTTTTCTATTTTCTATTTAATTTTTTTTTTCCCATGTCGGGGGCAGTGGTATTTCTTTTCTTTTCTTTTCTTTTTTTTCCCTTCAGTTTAATCATGGTTTTTCACCATTGCAGGTCCAAGTTCTGTGTCTGGTGGTCAGTTTATAAATTTGTACTTCAAGAGACTTCATAGCCACTTTATGTCCATTTGTCTATTTATATGTTTTTACAGGTGTATTTACAGGGTGCCTTCTATGTAAAAATGGGGATTATATATTGCCCTCAAAAGTGAGATTGCTGAAAGACAATTGTAAAGGGATGTCTTTTGTCTCTTTTTCTCAAAGCAATGTAAATAAAACCTATTGACTGTCCAGAAAGGCATGATACAGCTGTTTATTTTTCACAGTGCAAATAAAGGCAGAGATCCCTGAGAGGTTAAATACAACTTAGGTATAACTGACCAGATTCCTGGAAATAATTCTGTTAGGGTCTCCCCAGGAAGAAAGGTTACTGTAAAACTGGAAAGAGATTTGAAAGACAGCTTTAGATTTTCTTTAAAACTGCTTATTAAGAAACTTTGCTTACTATACCCAGATACTGGCTTTTCTAATTAGATGCTTTAGCTCTTTGGCGCCTTTCACGTGTTGCTGCCCACTTTCTGTGTCACAGAATGGAAAAATGTGTGTTTTTGTTAGAGTTGCTGTGTTGTTAGTTCATAACTTCCAATGTGCTGCCCGCCTCTGTAAATTACTTTTAATATGTTGCAGTGGATGTCACGGGTCTACTTTTTTTAATGAGCAAAGCTTACTAGATGAGTGGGATCAAAGTTACACAAAGCTGAGGAAGCACAGAGGTGAGAGAAGCGTGCCACCCCCCTTGCAGCAATTCCCACAGAACGCTTATTGGAGGAGAGTAAATTACAGAGATGTTCTTCTATTTTTGCGAAGAGGAGAATACCAGAAAATGACCAGGGGATCTTTTTGTATGTTCTACAGGGAATGATGAATTGAATCTTGAACTAAAAAGTTATTTTTCTGACATATGTTGGCTAACCTAGTGGGAATGGATTTGTAATATTAGTGCCTTGAATCAGCAGAATATTTAATTTCTTTTTTTTTAAGATTTTATTTATTTATTTGAGAGAGCGAGATGAGAGGGGGGAGGGGCAGAGGGAGAAGCAGACTCCCTGCTGAGCAGAGAGCCCAATGCGGGACTCGATCCTGGGACTCCAGGATCATGACCTGAGCCGAAGGCAGTCGCTTAACCAACTGAGCCACCCGGGTGTCCCAATATTTAATTTCTTTAATTTAAAATGTATTGCAGAGCACTTAGAAATAACTGAGGACTCCACTTAAAAATGTCTCTTTCTTTGAGCTTCCAAATTTAGAAATTCCCATACTGTTAACGTGAGTTCCGATAATGCATATATCAGATACTTATTATTTTCATGTTGACCCCCATCTTTATTATCTAAATTTGAATACAGTACCCTCTCCCTCTGCTGCTCCCCCCTGCTTATATTCTCTCACTTGCCCTCTAACTCTCAAATAAATAAAATCTTAAAAAAAAAATCTAAAGTAATTAAAGTAAAATTAACTGATTCTGATCATCTTGGAAACCTCAACTGTGAAATTGTGTTCTATTTACAAGTTTTTAAAAAACTTTGGGAGATCAAACACATTGGTCATAACAAGGAAATTACTTCCCTTAACATGGAACCCAAGTGGACTTGAAAAACGTGTTTTGAACTTGTTCTTATATATGATCTGACCTTATAGGTATGCTTTGCATTTTTCAAGAAATTAAGATGTGTTCACTTTAAGCTGACTGCACCCTTTTATGCAATCCCTCTTGTGTCCTGCAAACTTACTTGCATGCTAGGGATATGGGATATGATGCATAATCTTAGTATTTCAATGTCTTTCTCTTTATAAAGCTTGACTTACTTGTACGTGGCTATAATCCAAGATGTTTAACCACCAGCTGAGCTAAATAACCCAGACGGGGAATTACAGCCTAACCAAGAAAGAACTCTCACTACGTTTGCAATATTGGTGAATTTGATTGGTCACTATTTAGGTTGATAATTGAACTCATATTAGGTGCTGTGTCTCCATAATTCCTAGAAGCTGCAGGTGGTAACAAAACTACTGACATAATTGGGGCACCTGGGTGGCTCAGTCAGTTAAGTGTCTGCCTTTGGCTCAGGTCATGATCTCAAGGTCCTGGGATCCAGCCCGCTTCAGACTTCCCTTTTTTTTTTTTTTTTTAAAGATTTTATTTATTTGACAGAGACACAGTGAGAGAGGGAACGCAAGCAGAACGAGAGGGAGAGGGAGAAGCAGGTTTCCTGCTGAGCGGGAGCCCAATGCGGGGCTCAATCCCAGGACCCTGGGATCATGACCCGGGCCGAAGGCAGACGCTTAACGACTGAGCCACCCAGGTGCCCCTAAAATCTTTTTTTTAAAAAAAACAACAAACTGCTGACATAATTAATCTTAAATAACCCTCTTTTTGCCCCCCCAAAATTCCCAAAACTCCAATTTGGCTAATATTGAGCCTCTACTGCATTTTGGTAACCTTGCTGGACACTATATATGTGCTGTCATGTAATACCCCCAAAAGCTCCAAACAGGGTTATTTTTCCTTCCTTTCTCTCTTCCTTCTCTTTCTCCTTTATTTAAATACAGTTAGGATAACTGTCTATGCTTTCAAGGGGTGTAGACCTTCTTGGCCTTAAAACTTTCTAAAAAGATTTCAAATTCTCCTTGTGCTCTAGAATTTCTGAGGTGCCCACCACAGCTCTATGTTCTGTGTCTGGAAATGCTAGATCCCTGCCATATGCTCTGCCAAAACCAAATTTTGAGTGGCCAGCAATTGGAGCCCTCTTCATTGGTGACAACCAGTGAGTGGCCTATTTCACCTTTGTGAGATCTAGTAACTAAGTCTATCTGTTATTTTGAGGAATGAAAGTTGTCAATGAAATAGCACTGTGATTGAGAGAGAAAAAAATGAACAGTGTATGTTGTAAAGTACTAGCATAATTAGAAATGCTACCTATGGTTGAAAAGTTACGCTATTTTTTTTTTTTAAAGATTTTATTCATTTAAAGTTACGCTATTTTATAAAGATCTAGTTAATGGATGACAGTGACCTGCAGCCATGAATGCCAGAGTTTTACCAAAATGATACTTGGGAAGCAGTGGTGTCTTATTCTGTTACTGTGCCTTAATTTCACAAGCAGTTTGGCCTTTAGTTGAAATAGGAAGTGTTTGATTTAATATTTTTGCTATATTAGAATCTTTAATCGATCTGTATTTTGGTGTTATTTTAACTTTGTAAAAATTAACCACCTCATTATGAACACTTAACGTGAAGTTATTAAGAAAATACCACCTATATCATTAAAAGGTCTCACTCATTGATTGTGTGGATTTAAAATGAAAGATTTATGTGTGTTTAATATATTTGATGTTTTTAAGCAATAAACCCATGCCTTTGTTGGCAAATGTTTGCTGACAGAATTGAGTGTTTAAAAAAGACACTGACGGCAGACATGGTTATACAGATTATACATGGGGTTTTCTAGGGGGGATAAGGGTATGGGTATAAACCTTCCCTAATTATACATTTCCAAAGACAGACTCTATAAAGTCATATCAGGAGTCCCTAGCCAGTGTAAAAACTCCCAAGGAGGTGAAAAGGTAGAAGTAGGCTGTGTGTACAGAGCCTGAAAGTTTTAAAAACCACACTGTTATGATGGCCATAGACACAATTTTTTTTCACTTTATGCATTTCTATTTTGGAAACATTTGTTGGTAATGTTTCTATCTAAAACAAGGATTCGGTTTTTATCGTGGTTACCATGCCCTGCAAGAAAATGTTTCTGAGACAAGCGTATTTGGCAGACATCCAGGTCATGGTTTTAGATTATTTGAGTATGAAATTTCTGTAATATAGATTCAGCTGTAGTCAAAACACACATGATCAGGGCGTCTACGCATTCTAATACCTAACCCAGGGACACTGAGACCTGGGAATTCCTACCTGATGCCATGCCAGAAACCAAGAAAGTCTTCTTTTCTTTTCTTTTTTTTTAAATCCCCATAAGGGCCAAAAGATATCCTCCAGGAACCCGTTGGTCACTGGCAGCAGCAGGGATGAGACGTGTCCCTAGTGCCATTTAACTGCCTTATCATGCTTTCGGCAGAATGTAACCCAGCTTCGGCTGTCGGCCTTCTGGGGATGTTCTGTGGACTACCAACCTACAGTAAGGAAAACAACTGTCTAACCGAAGTTGTGGT